AGTAGTAGTAGTAGTAGTAGTAGTAGTAGTAGTAGTATTTATATTATTATTAGTATTATTTATATTATTATTATTATTATTTGGACTGAACAATTATGTTACAATTTAACTAATTCAGTAATATCATCATCATACGCTATCTATTGTGACAGACATTCAAATGTATAATAACTATATTAAGACTGATTATATTTCTCGTTGTACGCATTTTATATCTATAATGGCGAGTAGCGTAGACTACTTTCTCATCTTTAATTCATTTATTTTATTTTATTTTACTTTATTTCATTGAATATTTACTACTCCCTTAGTTGGAAAAAAATAAAAAAGTACCCATTATTATTATTATTATTATTATTATTAATTATTATTATTAAAGGCCTCAACATAAAATCGCTGAAACACCATGCCGAGTTTTTAAGATTAAAGCTCCGAGGATACCTTAAACTAAATGCCGACGAGGAAATTAAATCACTATGGAATGAATTTCACAACGCCTACAGAAAAATTAACAACCTCATTCCTGAAAATGACGAATTAAAACCGGCAATAAATGCTCTAAAACAACAACAATACGAAATGAACTTTAATCACCTCTCGCTTTTGTAATGCCAAATATATATATCCAACAACAAATCATTCGGATGATGAAGTTGAAACGTTCTACGAAAAACTGGAACAAACATTGAAAACATAACCAAAGAAAAATGTCAAGATCATTGCTGGGGACTGGAATTCTAACATTGGAAAAGACAACATTGGATTGGAAGAAGTAATGGAAAAATACGGTTTAGGAGATAGAAATGATAGAGGGAAAAGTTTATAGAGTTTGTGAAGGACCGACGATTGTATGTCACAAACACAAAGAGGCAAAACAACAACAAATGTTCTTGAGAGTCTCCCGACGGAAAAAATGAACATGATAGATTTAATACTGATAGAACAGAAATGGATAAAATCTGTCACCCAATTTAGAGCTTTCCCAAGTGCAGAAATTGGATCAGATCATCGCCTTGTCTTATGCAACGTCACCATAAAGATAAAACAAAAGCTTAAAATGGGAGAAAGCATTAGGAAAGTGAAATACAACTCAAAAATGATAAAGCAAAAGATGGAGGATATAAAAAATAAAATCGAACATGAATTGGACTCAGCAGCCAATTACGATTTGAAAACAAGAGTTAGCAACCTAGAAAAAATTCTCAAAGCAGCAGGTGAAAGTTGTAAAATCAAAACGAACAAAATAAAACCTTGTATAAGCAATGAAACATAGAACTTTGCAGAAGAAAGAAGAAGTTTGAAAATGACAAAAAGACAGAATGAAAAAAATAAGATCAAATATAAAAAAGTCGGCCAAAATTATAAAAAAGCGTGCTAGAGCAGATAAAAGGAGATGGATTAATGGTAAATGTGAAAAAGTAGAGACAATGATTGGGCAAAACAAGACAAGAAAGGTGTATCAGCTGGTTAAACAGTTAAAAGGAAAAACAGAAAAATATGTCAAGGATTATTAAAGATAAAAACGGAAACATCCTAACAGAAAGTAAAAAGATTAAAGATAGATGGACGGAATATATTAAAGACTTATTCACAGACAAGAACAAATACAAAAAAGAAACGCTTGAAATTTTGAAAAGCAGAAAAATAATCAATGAAGAAGAAAGTGAAATAACGGGGAAAGAAATTACATGAGCAATGAGTAAAATGAAGAACAACAAAAGTATAAGAAAGGACGGTATTCCGATAGAACTGATGAGAGCAGGAAGACAAGTCGTGTGTAAAGAAATTCACACAATCTGTCAAGAAATTTGGTAAAATGGAAAAAGGCAGGAAGAATGGTGCGAGTCAGTTTTGGTTATGTTGCCGAAAAAGAAAGACCAAAAAAACTCTAATAATTACAGATCAATTGCACTAATTCCGCACATATGCAAGATCATGCTGACCATCATAAAAAAACAACTGGAAAAGGTCATAGAGCAACATCTGCATGAAGAACAAGCAGACTTCAGAAAGGACAAAAGCACGATTCAAAAAACTCTGATGTTGAGACTTCTGATGGAAGATGCAAAAAGTAGTGGTCAGACAAATTACCATTGTTTTGTTGATTTTAAAAAAGCGTTTGGTTCAGTCTGGCATGAAGATTTGTGAGCAACATTAGAAAGTATGGGGCATCAGAAAAGCTGGTCAAAGTACTGAAATTGCTTTATGAAGAATCAAAAATGTCAGTAATAATAGGTACAGAACTTTGGAATTGGATAAAGGCAGAGATTGGAAGCAGACAGGACGATCCAATATTACCAATACTATTTATAGCATTGTAAAGAATTTGGAATTGGGTGGAATTGACATAGGAAGGAGAACCGTCAAAGATCTCAAGTTTGCAGACGATATAAATTTTCTAGCTTCTAGTGAAGATGGTCTACAGAAACTAATTGAACTTACACATGTTGGTGGAAAAGATCACGGGTTGCATATCAACAAAGACAAAACGAAGGTGTTGATTACGGGGAAAGGCAGAAACAATGCGGAATTTCAGATAGAATCAGAAAAACTCGAACAAGTAAACCAGTTTGTGTATCTTGGCAGTCTTATAATCTTTGACAAAAGCACCAAAAAAATTAACAGAAAGGTAGTTTGTTTGCATGGAGTGTTTGCATCATTGAAGAAAATATGAAAAAGTAGAAATATATCTATAAAAACAAAGTTGAGAATAATAAAATCTTGCGTTTTTCCAAGCTTGCTCTACGCATGTGAAACATGGACAATAAAGAAAAGAAATAAAGACAGATTGGAAGCATTTGAGATTAAGTGTTACCGAAATTTGTTGGGAATCAGTTGGAGGCAGAAAGTAAAGAACGAAACCATCAGAAATCAACTTGGAAGACAGAAAATTGGGTATTTTTGGACACATTTGTAGAATGATAGAAGACAGATTGATTAAGATGGTACTAATGATGAAAAGAGAATGGAAGAAAAAAGTTGGTAGACCTGCAAAGAAATGGATAGATGACATTACTGAATGGGCTAGTGTTGGTATTCTGAATTCAATAAAACTGGCCAAAGATAGAGAGGGTTTTTGGAATGAAAAAAGGAAAAAATAAATGTAAAAAACATGCTTAAATGTACACCATCGGCCTCGACGGTCCACCCGATGGACAAAGGAGGATCATTGATTGATTGATTGATTGATTAATAAAGTAATAGCTTCATCATATGCGATATATTGCGATAGAAACAATGCACGAGCAAGTTTTACTCTTTTATACTTCTTTTTATCATCAATGTACTTATCTCAAGATAACGAGCAATGATGAATAATCGTATTATTTCATCATTTTTAATTATATTAACCTGATTTTATTTTGGGGCATTTACATATCTGTTTTTGAATAATAAGAGTTCACATTATTATTATTAACAAAAACAAAAACATATTCATAAAAAAAAATATTCACAAAGGTTTCTATCCTATAATAGATGGACTAGCGGAACACACGCAAATGCTATCTCATCTTATGAAAGATGCCAAACGACATCAGCGTACTATCGTTGTCGCACTGCTGGGTCTGAAGAATGCATTTGGAAAGGTAAGCCATCACTTCATTACCTTGATCCTGAAATATCATCATTTTCCTCAACCATTTCACAATTTAATATCATCAATCAATTCCGACCACAGTGTATCAATATCAGTTGGCAATGAACTAACGCAAGCCATAAAAGTCAGAAAGGGCGTATTTCAAGGTGATCCTTGTTTTCCACTACTTTTTGACATTTGTTTCAACTCCATCATGAAAGTTCTAGACAGTGAAGAACATAAACAATGTGGCTATCTGTGGGGTCCAACTTCCTACTTAAATGCAAGATCATGGCTGCAGTTGGCGGACGATTAGGCAATTATAACACATTTAAGCTGCGCAGTTTTTTAAAACTAGCGAGTACAAGGAAATTCAATTTTTATATAAAAAATTGACGATCGATTTTTTTATGAAAGTTGACATTATGCTATTCAAATCAGGTTTTTTAAAATTTTGTCTTAATCAGTGTAGTGTATTGAATGATAAAGTGTAACTGTGAATGAATTCATAAACAACATGTGTTAACATGCACTTGATGAAAATGATATAACCGTGCGTGGAAAATTGAAAAATGTTGATATATTAGAAATCGGATGACTGCGAAACATAACGCTTATTTTTAAATATCTTCTTTGATTAATAAAACGTAAATTGAAGAAATTTAATTTCTTAATAAAAATGAAGTAATCAGATAGAAGAGAAGAATTGAAGCATGCTTAAATCATGTTTTGTCGCTGCAGAGTCAGGGTTCAATAATCTAAAATATAAAAATTTTATCAAAACTAACCACATCTCGCGTTGGTCAAAGACAACTGAATATCTTGCTGGAGTTCTCTGCAAATTTGCTAGGATTTACTTGGTCCAGCAATTGCCAAACAAATGCAAATTTGTTCAGATGGAGAAAAAAACAAAACCAATGTCCTCTCTGCGGCTCTTGACAAACATGCAGTTTCAAAATGTACCTCCCCATCTGCTCTAGCAAGATGCACCAAAAAAAACAACAACGTGATCATCTGCTGATTGGAGTTATGCCAGTAGCCAAATATTTGCAGATTTGGAATCAGATGATATTCACCCAGTACCAAAACTGTTCGAAACCCTTTGACCTGACATCGCCATCCTTTATGGACACAAAATAGAGATTCTAGAGTTGACTATCTGCCAGGAAACCAACCTAGAGTCCTCCAGGCCATACAAGAGGAACAAATATTCTGGCAGTTTATACCGTTGTTTAAATGACAATTATAGAAACTGTTCAACAATTGTAAACATTTTTGAAATATCACCGATTGGTTTTTATAATAATTTTAATCTATCCTAATTTAAAATTTTATTGCCGATTTCTTTTAATGATGAACTGATAAACACTGTTATAAGGTTATTATATGGCATTTATTGTGACAAACAAATTATGATATAATTTTAAATATATTTTACCGTTTTTCTGCGCAGTGAACAAAGTGGTCTATTCCTCTTGTTTATGATTATATAATTTTTATAAACATTATCATTTTTATTACCAGTTTATGTTTGAGTGTTTGTTTAATTGTGCAATCTTTATTCCTTTATCTCGTATTTGCATGAATTAAATGTACTCAAACCTTATTATGTTTTATTTACCTTAATCTGTAATCGACTATATTGTTTATATATATCATTCCTTTTTTCATTATTTTTTATATTTATTTTATACTCCCATTTTCAAACCTTGCTAGAAACATCTCTAATGACTTCGCTACTTAACCTCCTTATATACAAGGGATTTTTAAAATTTAAAGATTACAAATATAGCAAAGATAACGAATAGTCAAGATAACAAATAATATAGCGCAATCTGACTATTGCAGCGGTTATAACATTACCCCCCCCCCCATCCTAGACTGTTCGTCTCTAACATAGGCGTTATTTCTTCTTTTATCCGGTGAATTGGGTCAAACCTATCCAAATGGTCGATCCTATGATGGTAAAAGACAGCGGGGTTTTTGCCCGCTGTCTTTTACGATCATAGGTCCTGTAGATCACGTCATTTATTTTGTTAATGACCTTGTTTCGATATTTCCAATTCTTCGAAAATTTCCTTTCTTGCGCCGTAGGTTGTATAACCAGACCAGGTCAATACTCTTGAAACCTGCGTTATTTTTTTCGGGTCACGCCACGTTCCCATTGTTTCGGTTCCTCTAGCCATAGCAGACATCGTGATTCTTTTTTGATTTTGTTGGGACTTAGAATAATGCTAACGGTGAGCATACCATTTTTGTTATCTTTTTTTTCACTTAATATTCATTTTTTATTGGTGTAATACTTTTTATCAAACCAGAATACATAATTATTAACATTTTCAATATAAAGTGCGTGATATAGTTTAAAAAATGATTAAACAAAAATTATTTATTAATTAGTAAATTTTAATTTAAACGGGAAAACAAGACAAACCCTCAAATAACGATCACCAGTTATGGCATCCCCCAATCGTTTCAATTTTAACTCGTATGATTGACCTGTACGATGTTTTTATAATAATTATTTGCGGCTTTTAAAATAATCAACAAGTAAAGAAAGACCTGCTTATATTTTCAGTTTATTTTAATTATTGTAATATTGGATGATAAATCACTTTACAAAGTATGTTTCTAAATGATTTGCAAAAGTTTACTACAACATAACGAATGTTATAAAACTCACTAAAATACAGTATAGGTTGCTAAATAATACTCGATTCGTTTAGTAGAGGTATGAACAATTCCATTAGAAAGTGTGCACAAAATTGTGTATAAAAATTGAAAAATAATACTTGAACTTAACAATGACCTGGAAAAATTTGCGTCATTATACCCACAAGCAGTATTTATCCGCCGTAGTATTCATAAAATAATATTCACCCGCCATTTGACAATTCCTTCTATAAAATATATGTATAACATCAACGCCGTCCTTGTTCTCAAGTAAAACATATAGTAGGAGGACACAATAAGGCAATAACGGTATGAGATGTTACCAATTGAACTGAACATATTGAAAAAATTATTCTTGACAAATAATATAACTAAAAATAATAAAAACCTTGATTGAGGTATGTAAGAGACTCGTCATTTATTTTTGAGCAGGGTGTGGTTGCTGCATTCAGAATGTACTGAAACCTATGGAAAAGGGGTATATTTGATCCAATTAAACAACTTTTATAACTATTTATTTATTACTCTATTGCTAATCATTTACCTACAATCCGATTATCTATTTAAATAACAATATTTTAACTTAAGTTTTTATGCGTTATTTGTTTATAAAATAATAATATAAATAGTTAAAAATAGTTAAAAATATAGTTATAGTTAAAAATTGAACATTATTAAATAAATTTGCTGTAATTTTTGGCATTTATGCTTATAATCTTTTTCTTGTTTTAAATGTTCATTTTAATTTGCGTTTTGTAAATTGTAACAATATTTCATCAACTATATTAATATTTTTTATGCTTTGTATGTTGTACTCATCTCTGAGTATTTGTGTAAAAAATAAAAGAATAAAAAAACTTTTCAAATGTTTGTTTAGTTTTCTTTAGTACATTTGTTAACTTGTGAACTATTATTTTACGTAATTTAAAAGTGTTTATCATGAATAATGACAATGAGATATTTTAAATGTTGTCCATTAAATGATTAGATCAGCATCATCAAATGATCATAACATCATCAAATGATCAAAACAACGTCATCAAATAATTAGAAAACCTTCATCAAATAATCAGAACAGAACTTTTGGTCACTAAATTAGCTCAGTCGGTAGAGGTGCCATGTCATTACGCGATGGCATGTTTCGAATACTGTCTGTTCGAAACTCAAAGACCGTCACACCCGTATAAAGCAATGCTTGCGCGTGCATACATAATGTGTATGTGCGTCGTGTGGTGTGGATAGTACGGTCTTAGTGGCACGATGATTTAGTTATATGAATAAAATAACATGTAAACATTTGCAAATAAATAAACAAACATCGGTCTTAAAGACGCTTTGTAACAACTACAACATACAAATTATTTCAGATATGACCACATAAAATGGTGTTGATGATCATAACAACGTTATTTAATGATCAGGACAATATAATCAAATGAGCTTACATTGTCAAATGATTTGAACATCATCAAAATTAAAACAAAACTATTGAATGATCAGATCAGCATCATCAAATTATTATAAAATTATCAAATGATCAGAACAACATCATCAAATAATAAGAAAAACTTCATCAAATAATAATTAGAGCAGCTTTATTAAATGATCAGAACATCATCAAATGATCTAAAAATTTTATCAAATGATCAGAACAACATCAAAAGATCCGGACAACATCAAATGGTCGAAAAACATCAAATGATCAAAACAACATCATCAATTAACTATAACAACATCATCAAATGATCATAACAATCTTCTAAAATCTTCAACTTTGTTTGCGTTTAAAGTTTCTTTCTAATAAAGTTCATCTGAAATAAGTCTGTTCAGGAGTCAAGAATTCACGTAGAGAGAAATAACAATACCCTACTAGTTCAAGGGGTCGGTTATAACTAGTTAAGACAGGGTTTCTAGAAAAAAAAAGCTATCGACCTCGACGATCTCTGGACTATGGGGTACATTGGATAGATGGATAAAAAAACAACATCATCAAATGATCATAACAACATCATCAAATGATCATAACAATATACGTCATCAAATGATAAAAACAGTATTATTAAATGATTAGAACAACATCATCAAATAACCCTAACAACATCAACAAATGATTCTAACGCCATCAAATGATCAGAACAACATCAAATAAACTAACGGCGTGTCATAAAATTGTCCAAAACTCATCGAAGAAATTAAACTTGTCCAATCAGATTGAGAAAATTGTTGTTGGTTTGATTGTGCTATTTTGTCGTTGCTATTAACGTTCGTTTGTTGCTGCGGTTTTCGTTGTTCTTGCTGTTGTTGCAGTTGTCTTTGAAAGTGAGGTTGTTGTAGTAAATGATGTTGTTGAACATTATTGTTAGAAATTGTTTCAAAAGCATGTTTATCTGAGTATTTATTGTAACTGGTAGAAGACAGAAAAGTTGACAAGACTGGCTCATTACCCAGGCACAAAAGAGGATCTTTAAATAGTTTGACTCTATTATTTTGGTTAAAATTGTCCTCGATGCTGTTGTTTGAATGTTAACCAATCAAATTATAAATAATTTCTATCATAAAATATTTAATTTTTTAAATTGAGTTTATTTTATCTTTATCTTAATGTGCACATACATTAATTTGCCAAACGGTTAGTTTGCGAATTGAGTCAAACAGTACAAATTGCGCGTCTACACATGCACACACGTACATGTACATGGACGTGTGTTGTACATTTGTATATGTACGTTGTGTTTTCAGAGCTGCAAACTAAAAGAATTGTTCAAACAAGGTTTCAAAAATTAAAATATATAGTTACTTTTTGCATTTATAAAATTATATGCAATAAATGCAGACATTATTTCAAATTTGATTTAAACAAAAAGTTTTAAATAAATGTGAGTTTTCACCTGAGGAATCTGTTCTCGTCTATTGTTTCACCAAGAATGTGCAGAGGAGAAGTAAACCCATCCACAAACTCGTCATCATTTTGATCACCATGACTCATCATCTTCTACTCGGCACCTCCGATTATTTTTAGAAATGAATGCTTTTGTGGCTGACCAACTCTCTGGTATTATGCGTGTGTTAGATAATGAAGATTAATTTCAAACGAAACAGATTATTAAAAAATTATATTTGTAATGAGATTAGTACAGAGCAGCAGATAATTAAATAACATCTGTAATCATGGCAAATAAAAAAAACACTTTTTATAATGAAAGAAAACGCAATTGCACATAAAGAGACTAGAATAAATGAAGCATGCAGCTTATTTATCATACGTTGCTCATTGATGCGAGTAATAAGAATAGACCAATAAACGTTCGCATTGAATGGATGTTTTGGCCAATCAGAAATGTCCATTTGGTTTTAATAATTAAGATGGCACTTCTTAATGTTTGGTCACATTTTCTAAGGATAACTAAGAAAAATTCAGTCGTTGACATCTTTGCCAAATAATTATTATTGTTATGGATGATCACAATCACCTGTTTGGTTACTTATTCATGTGTTATGTTGTGTATAACTACCATTATTTTAACGCTATAATCACAACGTTTTAAAAATTTGCCATTATTTTCAAGAAACGGCTAGTATATATTTTTATATATTAGAAACACTTTCCTTTCACAACCGGTTTCATGAGGTTGTACGATTACGATTACATTTACGTACATTTAATCCATTAACCTTCTTTGCATGGCACTGCACCTACAACAAACAAGTGAACTACATATAGTCGCTTCAAACTGAAAATATTGCCAATTTTACAATATATAACAAATTCCAGGAAGGTTTACTTTGATTTAACAAATTTTAAAAAATATATTTTAATTTATTTACATTTTATAATGTTCTAAGTTAAAAAATTTTAATTTAATAAACACAAATAAAATGTGAACACATTTTTATAAAAATCATTGTTATGTTATTGATAATATTTTTGCAACTATAATTCACATTTTTTGTTATAATTATTTGTAATTAATTTAATATGGTTACGTTGATAACGATTTGTTAGAAAATAATTTAAAGTACACCCCGTAGTGCTGTTTCGTGATGTGATGTAATTATTGGGTTTTTAATTTATAAACTGGATTTTTTAAACTGGATAAATATATAAATATATTTTGTTTGGGTGGCGATAATTAGCTATTATACACCATGCGAAAATCAAGCATTATATCACAGACCATATGGCAGAATTATTAAACGTTGCTTAACTTTGTATTATCATCCTCAATTTTAATAACCTAACAAAGCTTGTTCCAAAATACTTTCAATATTTGTTAGGTGGAAGACTTACTTATATGCCTTAAAAGTTTAAATACGCATTTCAATTAAAAACTGTGGTTGGAAGAATAATAAAATCAATTTTCCCTTTCATATTGGCAAATAAATGAATAATATAATGTTAATTTAAAATTTTTTCATTGAAATGAACAAATAAAAATAAAGCATTAGCATAAAATAATTAATAAAATAGTCTAACTAATCTATAATTTCAGAAAAAAAACTTTTGTCGCTCATGTGATTTTAATGATTCATTAAATATTTCGTCAAATAATCCATACCTCATTTCAAGGATTTATTAATTAAATTACATTGTTGTAAAAAATGCTAAGAGTCAAATAACCTGAAGCTTATTGCGTAACAACGAAAAATTATTTTGCCATGAATGTAAGTTTGTTATTCTAGCTACATTGATGATTTGCGCTGGTTTTGAATAAGATTAAGATTCAGTTTTGATTAAGCTGACAAATAAAATATTAGCTTAAAAATTTCTGCTAAAAATTTAAATTATTTTTTTGACGGTTTCAGTTTTTGTTAATTTATTTAAATTAAAACACCGACTGGCATTAAATTTAGACAATTTTGAATAAATTAAAGTAAAAAACAACCAAAATCAAAAGCTCTGCAATATAATGAATGGCAATATCATTCATTCTAAATTAGTTGGAAGAAGTTTATTCAAACAAAAAATTTGTAAACCGCTGTAAATATTTAGCCGTAAAACGTTTCAACGTTAGACAACTAAATGTGAACTGTGGCGCAAATAAATGTATTTCTGAAAGAAATAATTCAAATAAAAAACTTGACGCAGATTGGGATTCAAAAGAATAAAATGGAACAACCCGGATATCACTAACGCAGCAGTTTGATTTTGAAATTATGACACTTAGCAGATCCCATTTGCCATCCGTAAATAAAGAATAACAAAAAATGTACGTAAATTCTTAATTTGTAGCAACCATAAATTTAATTTGTCACAATATTGCGTTATTATCAATGATTGGTTATATTAAATTTAACAACCTTATAGTCGCAAACAATTTATATAGTCAAAGCATTTATTTGAATTGCAAGTCTGTTTAGCATCTAAGTTTTAAATTTGTGTCAACTTATAAGTTTAAAAAGCTTAGCGCAACAAATTACCGACAATTTGGTGCATATTGGCTACCAAAAAACTTGGACTTTAATATGAAAAAATTTATGGTTTAACAAAAATAATGAGAAACGTAGGTAATATAACGTAGTTATTTACCTTATGTGATAGAATTCAATAAAAAAAGCTATAAATTTTAAAAATTAATTTATTATTAATAAAAATAGTTAATTATATCTTATCGGCCATGATTTGTAACGTTTTTTAACAAGGAAGCCTACCATTATATTTGATAATAATGTTCTTTTTTTTACTGGTTTCTTACTGTTTTCGTTACTGTTTTCTTACTGTTGCGAGTTTTTTACTGTTTTCCTCTAATTACATTAGACAAAAAAAAAATTTAATTCATTCGTTGGCATAAAAAAGTTACATGTCATAAAAAAGTTAATCTTAAATATGAATGTTATATAACATTGAATTTGATGTTAGCTGCATGATAAATTACGAAATGTTTTCATTTGTTTATGTTGTGTTTATATTGTGTTGATGTTGTCAATGTTCTTGTTTATGTTAATGTTGTTTCATTTAAATGCAAAAAGAGTTAAAAAATGGATTGCATGTTAAAATAATTATCCATGCCATCATTCAATTAATCAAACAATCAAACAAACTAACAATTAAATCGAACAAACAATTTTTTTCTAAAGCGCCATTTCCCTGATGTTTACCACAGATGGGTCTTGAGATCCGCTCTGAACTTGTGAGTGATAAAAAAATAGAGAGATTGAGTTCCAGAGAAAGCCAGAAAGAGCAAAGTCAGATTTGTTATAAGGTTTTTAAAAGAAGTTAGAAAATGTTAGAGCGAGAAAGTAATTGTAAGCCTTGGCGTTATTAGGTCTAATAATTAATTAATATATCTGATAGGTACTTAGGAAATAATTAATTTGTAATTCATTATTCATGCATTTATTATCATTCCAGATCTTTTTTGACATTTATTTCTGGTTAGTTATTTTCAAACAAAATATACGCCAATAAAATCAAAAAACCTTCAAGGACACTAAAATCATTAGTTTTTGGTTAGCCATACACATGGCTAGATAAATGACCAAAGGAATTTTCTGCGGTGTATAAAACGACCAAGTTGCATATCTAATTAAGGAAAATCCCATTTCATTTGTCATCGCTATTTTGTTAACTTTGCCGTTATAAATTTATATTGTCGTGTGCCAACGCATGTAAGCTTTCTTTATATTATCGTTTTATGAACTTTAATTTTGTATAGAATATAATTGATTAAAGCAATTTTTTATTTATTGACAAAATTCTTTCTAAATTTTACTACGACATTACATACAAATCTTTTTTCAGATGTTATCTGCAGCATTTCATTTCAAACAAAATATACGCAAATAAAATCAAAAAACCTTCAAGGACACTAAAATCATAAGTTTTTGGTTAGCCATACACATGGCTAGATAAATGACCAAAGGAATTTTCTGCGGTATACAAAACGACCAAGTTGCATATCTAATTAAGCAAAATCACATTTCATTTGTCATTACAATTTTGTTAACTTTGCCGTTATAAATTTATACTGTCGTGTGCCAACGCATGTAAGCTTTCTTTATATTATCGTTTTATGAACTTTAATTTCGTATAGAATATAATTGATTAAAGCAATTTTTTTATTTATTGACAAAATTCTTTCTAAATTTTACGACATTACATACAAATCTTTTTTCAGATGTTATCTGCAGCATTTCGTTTTTGACAAGGCTGCATTGGTAGACTAATAAGTTATGGCCAGATAAGCTTATTACATTAAAAATTCAATAGCAAATAATAATGAAATTTAGTAATACTTAAAAAGTCAAAACTAAAAACAATAATATGAATTACTGTAATCACCCGTACAAATTTTTCATTCATTTATCACCGAAAACTCTGATGAAAATTATTTAGAGATTATATTGAAAAGAAAAAAATTGTTATATAGAAGAATTTTAAAATTAAAATGTTTGAATGTTAACAAATCAGGAACGGAATGCAAAGTGGATGGAGACAGATGTTTTTTTAATGAATGTTGTCACGCGAAGGCATTTTATTGTCCTAATGTTATGTCCCAAGTTAACCTTTTGAATGTATACATTATAATATATAAACAAATATTTCATTGTAAATTTATGTTTTAACAAAATTATTAAAAAACCGTAAAAAAATTGTAAAAGCGATTCAAATGTGCCAACCACATAGTGATGCGTGTAAGTGTTGCTTATTTAATCTCAATCTAGCTAATCCAACACCTGCCGAGTTAATAATAATAACAATAATAATAACAATAATCGTTATTGCTGTAGTCATTTAAATCGTATGTTTATTTTATTCACTATTTTTTATTACAATTTTGTTAATAATAGAAGCACAAAAAGAGACAGATGATGCATGTTTGTGTTTACGTATCGAGGCAAGCCGTTTGTGTTCTTTCGCGCTCATTCTTACTAAATTTTAACAATATTTAAACATAACAATAAACTCATGCTAAACAGTTAAATAAAAATTCATTTATATTATATTTTCATTTAAATGCAACTAAAAAAACTTGAAAAAATGTAAATAATAAGCAAACGGTATCAGAATAGAAGAACGTAATGTTGAATAAATAAAAATTAAATACTCATGTTAACTGCTCAACTAGTTTTAACCAGCATGCGCCAATGATCAAGTTCTCGCCGGCAACCTGTCGCATTAGTATATAAAAATTTATTATTGAAGCCAATGCTAATTAATAAAACGGAGTTAACTAGTATTAGTAAGTAAATAAAAAATTGTGATGCAAATTATTCAAATTATTTGCAATTTTGCCAAATAATTTTTCTTTATTATACCTGAATGATTTTTGAATGAATTAACTCTTGATTGATGTTAATCATCAATGATGTATAATTAATTTGATAGCAGTGAAGTTTTAATTATGTATGGCAATGGCAACGACACCTTTATAATAAATCAATCACAATCTCACAAAAGAATATTGTTATTCACTAATAATAGCAACAACAACTGCATCAGCAGCAACAACAACAATAGAAACAACAATTATTTTTATCATTATATATATATGGTTATTATTATGAAAATCATTATTACCCTTACTGTTGTTATAACAATTGTTGTTAATGTTGTTATTGTTGCTGCTGTTGTGTGGTCGTTTTTGTTATTATTATTTGTATTATTGTTGTTGTTAATATCCTTAACGTATAGTAATAAGAACTAATGTTTGATGACATTTGCTTACCTGGCATTCATGCTTCAAATTAAATGAGACTGAAAATAGCATAGCCTCAACGGTACGTTGCCATAAATTTAATGACTTATACAATGAAACAATGTAACAAATAACGCGTGTAACATATAAAATAAAGTTGTATGTATAATATAAGTAAATTAACAAATAAAATTGCAGAGTAAACTAACATAATATATATATATATATATATATATATATATATATATATATATATATATATATATATATATATATATATATTGGTAACAGACTGCTGTTAACGCAACATTTCAAAAATTCAACACTACTTTCAATATTGTTCAACTTTTTTATATTTCTTTTTAATTTCTTTCTTTATTTATTTATTTGAACAAAGCACGGGCTATTGCCCATTACCGAATTTACAGGGAAAAAAAATATATAGTATTATACATGCATACCACGATACATTCGTACAATTGCTTCACAAGTATAACCACGAAGATAATGCATTATACCATGGCAGATTGAAAATAATTTCCTAAAACAATAAATTAACACTAACAGTGTCTTGAGTGTCACCATAAATGCAAACTTATAAACCAAGATATAATAAAATACTTTATCCATCTAACCCCATTAATCCCATCCTACACCTGAATGGCATAATATTAACTACACATTTCCCATGCAATAGAAAATATAAACAAACATTCATGCATCTATCTAATTTCCTTAACCTCCCCTACCCATATACCAACTCATATACCCACCTACTCATGAATCATTAATTATTATATCAGATAATTATATTAGAACCTAGAAATTTCATTAACTATTTACCAATCAATAAAAAAAAACCAAACAATCATATGAAAAACAATAATAATAATAAGAAAGTTATGAAGTCAATATAAAATATAATTAACCAAAAAATTTATAAATGAAATACGTACATGCATTCAACCATAAAATGGTTAATGAAATAATCAATCCAAGTCAATCATACATATTCCCAGTCATTACTGATAAAAAATAAAACAAATACATATTTTACCTATATTTATGCTCGTATTTTTACCATATGATAATTATTACATTAACCTCATAATAATGAGTATTATAAATGTTGCATAAGTAATTCTCTCATTAATCCACCCCCATTCATCCATGAAAAATTCTTATTCAATCATACTAATACATTAAAAATCTCAAACCATTTCTACTTATCAACACACACATCCAATTGAACCGTCAGTTTAAAAGTATCACCTATATTGAAATTTAGCATCACCCCAAAACAAATCCAAAAGAGATTTAAAAACACTTATATTTGGAGAGTCAACAACAGATTGTGGGAGTCTATTCCAGTCCGCGACTACTCTGTTACAAAAAAAATATTTTCTAACATCCTTGTGAGATAAACCTGTTGACAACTTCATATGATGCCCTCTAGTTCTCCCATCATTATTGAGCAACATGAACGAATGATCAGTATCTGGATTGGCCACCAACATTTTATATAAAAAAAATCAGGTCCGCTCTAGTTCTTCGATATTTCAAAGAATGCAAGTTCAATTTTTTTAATCTATCAATATACTCTAAACCATAACAAGAACGGATAGATCTAGATCTATCCGTTCTTGTTATGGTTGTTTAGCTCTTCTTTGAACTTTTTCAATCATTTGTATTAGGTTTATGTGATGTGGGCACCAAACCTGTACCGCATACTCTAGATGTGGTATGACCAAGCCTTTGTAGAAACATAGGTAAGCTTCTTCATCAATAAGTCTAAAATGCCTGTTTATGATGCCCAACATTGTGTTGGCTAACTTAACTTTACTATATATATGATCTCTAAAAGTGAGTTTATCATCAACAAACACACCTAAGTCTTTTATTACTTTGACTACTTGGATCACTTGTTTGACCTGGGCAGAATCCCACATTTCATAAATATTATTATATTTATTTCCGAACTTCAATACGCAGCATTTATCTACATTTGAAATCATACGCCAGACATTTAGCCAATTTTGCATATTGATCACATTTAGTTGCATGGACTTCAAGTCATCTGGAAATTTGATAATTTTAAACATCTTTGCATCATCCGCAAAAAGATATATATTCTCACATGCTGAAGGGCAGATCATTAATTTAAATTGTAAACAGTAGAGGTCCCAGGATATTACCTTGGGGAACACCACTAGTAGCATCAAACTTTGAAGACAATGCATCACCCACTCGCACCCTGAAGTTTCTCTTCTTAAGATATTCACTTATCCAAACAAGAATTTTGTTATCGAATCCATATTTCTTTAGTTTCAGTAACAAACAATTGTGAGATATCCTATTAAAAGCCTTCTCGAGATCAGTATATATGACGTGTACCTCCTCATCACAATCAACACCCATTGTAACTTTATCCAAAAATGTCAGCAACTGAAGAGTCGTCGATCGTCCGGGCAAAAACCCATATTGATTTCGGTGAAATAAATTATTCGTCAGAAAATAATTCAAAACATGGTCCTTAATAATTGATTCCATCATTTTACAACACACAGAAGTAAGAGAAATAGGCCTGTAGTTACTAACCAAACTTTTACTTCCTTTTTTGTGTATTGGTATTACTATGCTAGCCTTCCAATCTGCTGGAATCATGCCGGTATCTAGTGAACATTGAAAAAGTTGCCTAACTGCAGAAACAACAACTGTTTTACTTTCCAACAATATCCGTGGATGAATATCATCAGGCCCTGCAGATTTGTTCTTATCCAATAAAGAAATCTTTTTAGACACTACGTCATCATTGAATTGCAATTCATCCATTCCGGCAGCCGGAACCAATGGATATAACGAGTCGTTATAATTAACCTCATTGTCAAGTTTATAAACCGATGAAAAGAACTTTGCCAAAGCTTGGGCTTTTTCATCATCACCCGTGAGATCTGTGTTCTGTACTCTGAGTGTTTCAACCCTGCCCACTGTTGTTATTTTCTTCTTCACTTGTTTCCAGAACAGTTTTGGGTTGTTATGATAGTTTCTTGCAATGAAATTCTGGTTATCTCTGTCCAGCTGTTTACATTCTGCTGGATCTTTATCTCTCGTAGACCTGAAACTTTGCAATAAGTCAACGTCTCCATATTTATAGATTCTTTTCCAATAGTAGTGCTTAAGCTTGATAAGTCGCCTCAGTTTAAAGTTGACATGCTTAACAACACAGCTACTACATATTTTCATAGGAACATATTTTGAAGTAGCCTCACTAATCAAAAAACAAAATTTTTGCCATAAATTTTCTACGTTGCTCTTTTGGTCTACATCCACAGTTGTATCAACAGATAACATGCTAGAAAGATATTTGTTAATTGCATCGTACTGTCCAAGATTAAAACACAACTTCTTCCTAGGTTTACTGTGCAAAATTGAACAATCAAAAATTTTAGATGAAATCAATAAGTGGTCACTTCTGCCCAGAGGAGATAAATACTGTAAATCTGATACGCAATCTTCAGACGTGATAATTAAATCCAAAACATGAGGAATACTGTTAGCTCTATATCTTGTTGGTTCGTTGACATGCTGCAGCCAAAACCTATCATCAATAAGCTGCAAAAATCTATTTTCAGTCTTGTAGTCAGAACCTGCACAAACTCTCAGCTTCCAATCTATATCTGGAAAATTAAAATCACCCAAAACAAGATGTCTACCAGACAAATCACCAAACTCATTCAAGACACCAATGAGATTGTCATTATTATCATTACTTGAATTAGGACTTCTGTAAATTACCATTAAATTTAAATTTTGATCTCTGACGTTAATCCTGGCACACAAATATTCCTCAAATATGGAATCCAGTTGAACACTAAACAGCTGCAAATTGATTTTGTAATATAACATAATACCTCGATAACTTGCTTTGCAGAAATTTGAAACCAGGTAACTATATCCAGGCAAATTAAATTCGTTAATGTTCCATGAAGAGTTTTTAACATTTTTAGGGTTTACTTCATTTATAACTATAAAATCATACTTTAAATCCGATGCATCTAAAAATAGATTCAATTCTGAAAATTTATTTGTGAGACAATCAACATTGGTATACAAAACATTAAGCACATCATTAGGATTCTTTACCACACTAGGATGATTATAATTAAACTCACTGCCTTCTCTTGACTTTGATCTCTTTATAAATTTGTCTTTTTAAAAACAAATACATGAAACTTACCTGGTTGTCCTTTTATCTTAAATATCCAGTTATTAATGTCGTCCTTTTCTGCAATTTTCTTCTTTTTATCATCGAGAAGCTGTTTACAAATATATCTATCTAATTTAATAAGGTCATGGTTAATGTAGACTCCATTGAATGATTTACTCCTCCTCAGTTTGAAACAGTTTTCTAGTATCAGGTTTTTAGTAGTTAAATTCAATAATTTAATTAAAATAGGCCATGGCTTTTGATCGTTCACCCTTTTACCGAGTCTGAATACATTTGAAACCTTCTTCTCCAAGTTTTCATCAGTTATCTCTTTCAACAACTGAAGCATTTTCTCTTTATCAGCTTTCCAAGAAAAACTTTCATTTTCTGGTATGTTGAAAATGACTAAATTGTTTCGACGGATATCTCTTTCATTAGCAACATCCAGATGATTTTTTGTGTCCAGCACCGATGAATGTATTTCCTTGACATTTGTTGTCAAACTCTCAATATTACCTTTAACTACTTCATTCCACTTTTTTGTCATTTCCTCTTCCTTGGCTACCTGATTTTTTACCTCATTGAGACTATTCTTCAAGTTAGTTTGTTCCCTCATCTGTTCTTTTAGCATCTCTTCTCTAAATGTGACTTTTTCCATCATCTGAGTTAGACATCTGACTTCATTTGCCATTTTTTCTTCTAACTGTTTGATAGCAACAAGCAATCCTTCCTCCTCATAATTAGTCAGTGTTTTTATTCTTTCTTCATTTACTTTCCTACAACCTTCACACAGATGCAATCCCGCAATATCACTCATCTTATTGGTCACCTTCTTTGTCCGTGCGGTTATGTTAGGATTAGTGTTTTCCATTTTCACTTTCTTTAGTCGGCGAAATACAACAGGATTTGAAAATTATTAATTAAATAAATTTTCCAATACTGTTAATAACTTAAAATTAAATTTTTTAAACTCGAAATTGATAAATTTATTGAAAAATTTAAATTTATTGAAAAATTTATTAATGTCTAATTTCTCTGACATTAATAAATTAAAAAGAAATATAAAAAAGTTGAACAATGTTGAAAGTATATATTTATATATATTTACAATACTCTATAAATTCTACCAAATGTTGGCGTAA